ACATTAATGTAATTCTGCTGACACAGGCTCCTGATAGGTGACTAGATTACCAGAACTGTACAATAAGGATATTACTTGCTTGTTCTGCAAAACATATTATTCACAATGATGGCATTTAGAAAGGATGAAAGTTCATATTCAAAACCGAAGACAAGCTTGCAAAGTCACCTACTTGCATTAACTTGTATAAACCAGACACACTGTCTGTGTAAGTTTAAGCTTGTAACACAGTTCTGACTGTTGCTCTGTCCACAGACGGGGTCAGCATAGACACCGAGTCAAAATAGTGAGTTTATCTTTACTTACACTTTAAGCAATAGAAAAATAAGGCAGCAAGAATGAAACAAAACAAGGTGAAACGACACAGCAAAAATAAAACAGAACACGGTAATGCACCTAATTATTCCTATACAAGAGTAACTGCAGTGATTAAGAAAGAGGTGTCACCAATTGCCCAGCTACTGCACCACCACTCAGATCCACACTCACAGGGAAGCTCCTATGCAATGTGTCCATCCACAGGTGAGGGCTCCAACTTCACTGCAAGCAGGGCCAGCTTTTATACTGCTGAATAAATAAGTTCACATATCTTCAAGGGTGGAAACATCTGGTTTCATTCTCCTTTTTGGATTCCACCTCAAGCCTGGCCAGGGCTCAAGGAAGAACCAAGGAAGTTTGCGTATTAGGCCTTGACACCGTGCTTCTATACAAGGAAAGGTTAATAACATTCTTGTAATGTTTGATCTAAAATAACCTCATTAAGATACATATTTCTCTAATAGTCATACTCATTCTGCTAACCATCAGATACTGATGCTATATAACGTGTGGTTGTGAGGTTCATCTCAAGGTCCACTCTGGGTTGAGGTGTACTGTTCAGATCTTACTAGTTCAGCTACCCATGTTTCAACCAAGCTGCTGTAAAGACCGGAACTCCACAAGTTACCATGCAGTTTGTCTCCTCTCAGCCAAATAAAATAAAATAAAATACAAAACAACAACAACAAAAATCAATATATCCTTAGAAGCACTTACACTGAAGAAGTTTCTCATTTTTTCTGCATACAACAATAAAAAACAAGCACGTATTTGTTAGAGCACTGTAAAATAATTCCTTTTTTAAATAATCACAGTCTAACAACAACATCTCATTACAAGTGGCTGTGTACTAATCAGAACTTACTGCCACTTAGTTCTGCAACTCAAAACCCCACCCAAAAAAGAGGCAGGCAGCCCGATGCCTACATGCAAATGCCATTTGCACACCCAGAACAGGTTGAACCCTTTGTTGCATGGTATTCTAATTCCAACAACTCAGGGTTTTTGCTTGCTTTTTTTTAAGAATTGTACCATTTTTGCACAGCATTAATTTTGAAAAATGGGAGTTTTTAAGAGGAGAAAGGAGGAGGAGGAGGAGAAAAATCCCTTTCACAATACCGCTGTATTGTACATTCTGGAGAGCAAACCAAGGATCCTTAGAACACACAACCCACTGAATTTATACCAGAGACGCTGCATGCAAACTGTGACAGCAAAAATGGCTACAATACAGTTTAAAATAGAAGAGCTCAGGGTGGAAAATGCATACCAACAGATTACATACACAAATGGCCAATGACAGCTATCAGAAAAGCTTAAACAAGTGTATCACTAACGTTACATTGAGGAATTACTCTGTATTTCTCTAAGTACTATAAAATAAATTCACAATAATTCTACAGCCATCAGAAATAACACCTTCTAAAGCACATCCTACCTACTGGTTTCATTTATTACTATCCAGACACACGCACCCATTAAAGCAGGAGACGTCTTCACCAGGGTAAGACTTCCCCAAAGCTGCTTTAGGACATGGGAGTTATGGTTTCATGCAACCACTACACAGCCTGTAAGTGTTCCCACTAACCAAGATCCTCATGCATAACACGACTACTGCAGCAAAGATCACTTCACCCTTCATACCAGGTGCTAGATGGTAAGCACACAGCAGAGCAGCTGTACATCTGCTGGAAATTCACCACAAGTGTACCTTGAGGAGAAACTCCTGACTGCTCTTAGTTACCGGGCTGTGGTTAGCGCTACGCAAATGCCTTAGATCACATAACCTCAGTTCTCCCAGATGAAACTAAACTGAAAGGCGGGCTAGGTGTTAATTGGCTCTCAGGCTGTAGCACCACTTTAGAGATACTCAGAAGCAACACCCCCTCCCAGCTGGCTCCTTCATTCTGCAGATCCACACGGCAGTACTGAGGCAGGTGCAGCCAGCACACTGAAGTACCAGGAATCCCTTCTATCAGGCAGAATTAAGGAGGGAGGGCACGTCCTCCAGCCAAGAGTTTTCAGTCTGACTTCACAGGTCCTAGCTGAACTAATTAGGAGTAAATGGAACAGTGCAGTTTTGTTTGCAAAGGAAATGGCTCTTAAGAGAGCATTCACACTGTATGCATTTTGTACAGGCATCTAACTCACACACACTATGGTTTGGCACTGAGGCTTAATGCCTACAGCAATCAGATTGCATCTCCTAAGCTCTTACAGCACATCTTTTAGTCTCAGTTTATCCCCAGTAAAACAGTATGCTTTTAGAACAATCCACAATGGAAAAACTGAGTGGGAGCATGCACGTGAACTGGAGCACTGACACACCCCTACAAACCACCAACAGTGATGAGAAATTACACTGGGGAGAGGACTATATCTCAAACAACATCGCTACACACTTTTAAAGGAATTACAAACCATTGTTCTTAGAAATTCATGTTGTAGCCCTTGGCTATAGGAGGCAAATTCTGTGACTTGAGGGGACTTACTCTAGGACCAGTTTTAATCTTAAGAAATGGCTTGCACAGAAGTGGTGATGCTTTCAATGTGTAAATAGTTTGGTTATAAATTTCCTAGCACAGTCAGGTTTGCAGGCTATTCCTTCAAAGCAGTATGGCTATTCCTGCAGAACAGAGGGAACGTAAGGGTATATTCTGCTTCCAGGAGAGGACTCCTATACAAATAAACCACCACAATTGTTATACATTGTTTCAGGCAGCCCCATGATCTTTTCTGTCCTTTGATTCCAAAAGGCACAGGAATTAGTAGAAAAATTAGCCAAGAAAGAATAGCCAATTAAGCACGATAATTTACAACTCATTCCTTCAACACGCTGCAGCGTACAACTAAAACAGAGGTGCGGTAAATTCAGCAGCTACTAATGAACGGATTATTGACCTTGGAAATTCCCACTTCAACTAAGCTACTTAGCCACTCTGAAGTCTGGCAGCACTCTGTGCTGCTCCACACAGGCAGCCCTCAGTTCCAGGGCAGGACCTGCTGTGGCTTCAGCAAATGCTCATACATTTCCAGAGTAAGACAATAACTGGAAAGGACAACCAGAGTTGACTAAGCCCTTAAAAAGGCTTTTAGAATAAGGTTTGTTAAAGACTAAGACACTGAGAGTTCTTTAGGACTCACCATAGTATGAAAAAGTGCTTGATTTCTACAGTGCTTGATTTCTACAGTACAGTGCAATAAAAGCACTTGTTATTTACCTTATTTCTCGAGACTGAGAGAAAAGTGCTTAGGAGAAAAGCACGTTTCTTATTCTTTGATAATTTATTCTATAAGGTAGAATTTTACATTAAAAATTAAGTCTTTAATTTGGAAAAGAAAGTATACCCGCCCCATTCTAACAGCGTAAGAGAATAAGGAAGGAAGGCTTTCCAGTGAACAATCTTGCAATCCCTCCTCTTACTTTTTACGGCTTCTACCAGTTCACAACACGTGTCCATAAAGCACATCTTTCTTCTCCATTACCTACACTGAGCAAGTAGCAATCAAGAAATCAAATTAGAAAGCACACCTGTCCATGGTGTAGAGAGGAAAGTAGAAGGCATCTAGAAAAACAGAAGAGAAACGGCATGTCTTCCAGCATATTGATAACCCCCAAAATCCTCACAGACATTATGGGGTTCAAGGAGAAAAGGCATCAGTGGGAAGGCCGTGCTTGCTGGAACACACAGTCAGCTGCACACACTGCGGCTTGCTCTGTCGAGATTAAGGCACCAGATCTGCCTCAGTGGCGTTGTTTTATTAGCACGTTAATAAGTGAGCAGTCAGATTCCCGATTTGAAATTCACACCTCACTGTGACAAAAGCTGGCATTTCAGCTTGCGGGGCTTACGGCTCAAAGGACGCGGTTATGACAGAATCAAGGCTACTCGCATGAACTGATATTTCCTCTCAAGATTACAGAACATCCTGGAGAAATCGAGAGAAGTATCCTAACAATGACTGCAAACCGCTCTCCTGCTCTATAGGGCTGGTTAGTTACCGAGCGAAGTGCTGCACACAAACAGGTGGTTCCGAACCCGCACCATTCACCCAGCGGTTCTGGTCCCTAACCAGTACTTAAAGCACGGAAAGCTTTCCGGGCAGCCACAAGAACGAGCAGCCAAAAACCGGGCTTTACACCGCACGAGGTTCATCCTCACCAGCAGCGCACGCACCGCTCCCGGCGCCCTCGGGATCCGCCGCTTCTCCGAGCGCCGCTCGGGCAGAACTTTCACGGCGGCCCGCGCACGGGCTGAGGGGCCGCGAGCGGAGAAGCGCACCGGGATTTATTACCGCCCTTTAACTCGGGTTAACCACGCGCTACCGAAGCGAGCCGGCAGGCCGTGCCCGCAACCCGTGCGGCGCTGCCCGTGTCCGCTGCTCACCGCGCTCGGTTCATCGCCTTCAGCGCCTCGGATCCGGCCCCGAGAACCCCGGGCGCGGCAGCCGCGTACGCGGCGCTGCCTCCACGGCGGGGCGGCGGCCCTCCCGCGGTTCGGAAGGGAGCCCCGCACCTGGCCACGCGGTGCCCGGCCCCGCTCCCCGCTCCCGCCCGCAGCGCTGAGGCGGCGCCGCGGCACGCGCCCGCAGTGACCGTTAGGAGCGTTTAACGGCCGGGGGCGCGTGCCGCCGATCCCACCCCAACCCCAGCCCCAACCCGCCCCGCAGCCCCCGCTCACCGAGAAGCCGGCCCAGAAGGGACATGAGTGGCGGACGCGGGCCGAGGTGGTGAGCGCCAGAGCGGCGAAGCTGACGGCCACGATGAGGCAGCCCAGCAGCATCTGCGTGACCCCCAGCGCCAGCATGGCCCGCGAGCGGGCACGGTGCTCGCGCAGGCGGGACAGGCTGCGAGACAGCGCCGCGGGGCTCAGAGAGCGCGCCCCGCCGGGGGGCCGCGCCGCCACAGCGCCCGGCGGCATCCTCCGGCGGGGCCTCCCGACCGCCCCCCCGCCCCGCGGGCAGCCGACGGCCGCGCCTCATGGAGCAGGCGCTGCCCGGGGCGGCCCGCGCGGCTGCGGCCGGCGGGTGGGGACGGGCGGGCAAAGCGCCGCCGCCGCCACCTCCTCCTCTCCCGGCGGCAGAGCGGGGGCGGCCCCGGAGAGCGAGACGCGCGCCTGGGGAACCGGAGCCGCGCTCTCCGGCCCGCGCTCCTCCCGCGGAGGGAGGCGGGCGGGCGGCGAAGGGGGAGGGCTGCTGGCGGCCAATGGCGGGGAGGGCTGAGGAGGGAGCGGCGGCGGCGCGAGGCCCGGCCCCGCGGCGCTCCGGCTGGCACGGGAGGCCCCGCGGCGGTGCGAGCAGCGCCTGGAGCGCGCTCAGGGGGTTCTACGTCAGGGAGAGTCTAGGAATAGCCTCCCGACAGCCAGTGTAGGCCCAGTCCTGAAATCGAGGCACGATCGTCACCCTATATAGCAGGACAATGGGGGTGGTCCAACACCGCTGTAGCGCCGGACGCGGGTCGGAGCGGTGCAGGCGGGAGTGGTGGTCTGCAGGCACGGCGTTGAGGCTTACATCTTCATTCACCGGCTCCTTCTTTTTTCGAGAGCTCTTTGTGTACGGTGTTTTGGTTCCTCAGGAGGTAATGGAGAAGCGTGCCTTGAGGAGAGCTTCACGACGTTACGTCCCCTCTTTTATCATACTTAATACAGTCAAATATTTTGCTGTAACAGCAAACAAAATGAAAGAAAGAAAAGAAAGAAAAGAAAGAAAGGAAAGAAAGAAAAGAAAGAAGAAACTTGTTCTTCTTGAGTTAAATCAGCACTTGTACAAAACCAGCAAGGAGAGCAACTGACAGCGGTACCACTCCCAACACGGCCGGATGCAGCCCCAGCACACATGCATTCATATTTAACCAGTCCCAAAAAGCTCTCCATGCTGAAGACCGCTGTTTTGTTAAAGCAAGTCCAATGCAGAATGCTATCAACTCAACATGGATGTAGAAGAGTTAGCTTAGAGTGCCTCAGTTGCTCATATGGGATATGAGCCAAATGGGAGTTGATTAAAACAAAATACACAGCTCTTGGCCCACGTTTCTGCGCCCGTTGTCATTCCTGACGTGATTGCTGACTTTCAGTGGGAGTGCTACATCACACCTGGAAGTTGAGGTGGAACAGAAAGATGAAGAGAAATGGAGAGGGGAAAACTAAAACTGACATAAGAGGGGGGAAAAAAAAAAACAAACCCTAAAGCTCTCTGCTATCCAGTGCTGAAAAGTTAGTTCAGAAGACACATTTCAAAGTATAGGAAGACTGTTCTGTTATGCGAGAGTGAAAGGGACTAGCAGAGAAAAAAACAAACAACCAAAACAGAACTTGTGCAGTGATCATGATTAAACAGTTCATTCCCCAGACCACAAATGTTTAAACCTATTCAACAGCAGGATACTTAGGAACTTATAAACACATTTCATACTCTGGCTTCACATCTCATTCATTTCATTTCTCTGCACATTCAGGTGTAACTAGATATTGCCCAAGGTGCAACTTAGCTCTGGATATATAGTTCTTGGACTTCTGGAGGCTCTCTGTTACGACATCTGTTTAAAAATGATACAAGAGCAGTTTGAGAACTGTTACCATCTCCAGCTTTAAATGATGTCGTTTTGCTGAAGAGGCTTTTTAAAATACTTTCATGCATATTTTTCATTGCCGTATCATTGATTCTAACAAAGTGGGATGCAGTACTGAAATTCCTTCCAGAACTACAGTAACAAAAGATTTGTAGTAGCCACGTTTGAACACTATAATATATTCATTCTGAATTGAAAAAACAATCCTGAAGGCAGCCAGAAGGGCACTACATATCTGGCAGATTAAAATACATCAGAACTCTGCAGCCAGCATGAAAATGATTTCATTTCTACAGTAACTGTCTCATTATTGTCAATCTTTACCAGCTCCCAGCCAGTTCAGAAAGCAGCTTCAAGCCTCTTACTAGGAGCTATATTGGTGCACTGACATTTTTATTTACTTTCAGTGTTGGTGAATTTCAGGTACATTGCCTCTGAAATTATTATTCAAAGTCCTGTAGGCAAGTAGTATTTTCAAGTTTGACAGAAACAAGAAACCAATTACAAGAAGTTATTATTCATAGTTAGAATTCATAAGTGCTTATCAATTAAGATACAGCTATTTCATATTATTTTCTAAAATGGTTGGACAGTGCCAGTCTGCTATTTGATTCTTTTCATCTACTAAAGTTCTATAGTAGAAAGTCCAAAGTAGAACTTAACATGGTCATTTTTAACAGCACACAATAATATTTTATTAGAAAGTACATCTGGATTTTAGTGACTTAACTGAAGGATCATTTCGAGCATTTCTAAGTAGGCTTTTATTTCCTTTATTGAAAGAAAATTGAAAGCTAGATTGTGATTTAATCGAACTCAAAGACTTGGTTTACTGAGAAAAACATATAAGATTTACAGGTAAGTGGTTTGAAGTGCTTAGAAAGCAAAAATCAATAATTCCTCAGGTTGCTGAGATTGTAGATTTTCCAGGAAGGGACATGGAATCAGAAATGAATCTGCTTGTGGGCGCATCTACCAATTTTTCTTTAATAGTATGCACACGTCAGTGAAGATAAAAAGGAAAAATCTATCAGATTTCAAATTGCCATCAAGTTGAAGTTATCAAAATACTTGAAAAGATACAGATTATGTCTTCATCTATTTTTCCTCTTAGCCAGAGTTTTCTGTTGATAGATTGCTAAGCTTTATTGCCTCCACCACCATTATTTGGTAAGGGGACCTGATGGAAAAAAAAAAAAAAAAAGCAATATTTGCAAAGCATGATTTCTCAGTCAATCAGCATGGTACAAAAATTACAATACTTATTTGGCTGCGTAGATTTACTCTCAATAAAGTTGCTGTCTAAAAGCAGATGGTCTTTTTAGTTGTAAGGGAGTAAAGTTTTAAGCATAGGGCAAAAGGAATTTTCTTGTAGGAGCAGAAATTACTGTTTGATGGCTAAGACGTCCAGGCTTTATTTTCAGAGGGATGGGGTAGGTAACCAAAATAGCTCAGAGGCCAGCTGAGCCGCTCACACCAATTTAGTTAAAACCCATAGTAGGTAAGCACAGCTTTTTCTAGTATAGATATAATAAAATGTTCTTTCCAGCCTTGCAACTCGTGAACTGAAGGTAAGGATTATTAATTTTTTTCCTTCAATGGAATAGTAATTCACATGGGATTATTTCATACGAAGTTTCTATTGTGATTTATTAAATCAATCTCTAACAGGATATTACATATAAAAAAAAAATACTTTGTTATTCATTTGCTGTGAACTGTCAGATTTTTCTCTTTGACCTTTTTTGCAGTGGACTGTGATTTTCCTTCTATAATTTTCATCAGCTCCAGCTGACTTCCAAAGAAACAACAGATAGAAATTGTGCCATATCATCTTGTGAGTAAATTATAGCAAAGTTTCAAGAATCTGAAAAAAACCACTGTACTACAATGAATTTAAATCCATCTGCAAAGCTTTTTTTTTTTTTTTTTTTTTTAATTCCCCCTCTATTCTCACTCTTCCCAATAAAACAAGAACTCCAATCTACTCCACAGCAGGAAATGAAAAGGAGACAGTGGGTAAGAGCAGAGTAAGAGCTAATTTCTTTAAGTCCGCTCAACAGCATGCATCAATTTTAAAGAAAAAATTGACATGAACTAGTCTAAAAAAAAAAAAAATGTATAGAGATGTGTGGGATATCCCAATAGTTCTAAATAACACCAGGAATGTACACTATCTTACCTGCAGCCTGCTCCAACAGCAGAGAATAAATCTTAGCAACAAGGAGCAAGGAAACCCAGTTAAGCTGTGCATCTCTTGTGCAAGTTCTTGTGCAAGTGAAAATGAGGATCCGTATCAGAGTTCAGAATCCTTAAATCCTTGATTCATTTTCCATGGTGTACAAGACACTGCTGTATTCCTAATCACATGCACCAAACTGGAGTTCCTACTCTGAACATTTTCAGGCTATGTGGTTGAGTATGACAGAGCTTTCTGTAACTGGAGAGAGGAGTCTTTTTAAATCTGAATGGCTGCTTTTGGTAACATCAGCCCCAACTGTAATTACTGTGTGGATGTGTTTAACAACTGAATATCAAAACTCGAGAGCACCTGGATATGACAAATTTCAGAATCACAACCGATAAAAATTTACGTGTTACATATGGGTGGTTCTACAAGCATGGAATTAACAACAACAGGTGCAGATAATTTATGTAGAAGATATTTATGGGTTACAGAAAATAGGTACTACAGAGCTGAGAGAACTTTCAATGCCATGGAGACTAAATTTGTAAATACTATGTTCATTTTTATTAAGTAGTTTCCTCATTCATGAAGTACAAGAGAAATAAGACTTAAACATACCTCAAAATTTGAGTTTGGTCTCGAAGCTTACATGGATCGGCATAACTAAACAATGCTGAAGAAATAAAGCCAGTCCTGCCACAGTGCCCGTAACACAGCTAATTGGTATCGAAATCCTAGGTATATCGGAGAGTCATAGATTGGTTTAGGTTGGAAGAGACCTCAAAGATCATCAAGTTCCAACACGGCTGCCCTGGGCAGGGATACTTTCCACTAGATATGCTTATCCGACTTGAAAAGTTTGTAGAAAAGTAAGTACAGAGGATAAGGAGAAAGAGGATTTAAACCCTTGTCCGGTTCACCATAGCACTGAACCCACACCCACAGTTTTAACTTAGGCATACCTTCCTTAAATTAGG